ACTCCAACAGATGGCTAAAATATGGCTAATATATGTGGTTTTGAATCTTTTCTGGCCCACGATGTGTTTTTATTCTCAAATTTAGTTATTCACATTTTTTCTTGGACATCTAGGGTCTTCTTCTAGCTGTCTTATTTCATCTGATGGCACACATCTTCATCACTCATTTGCATAATTACTCCAAATTAGTTTTCTGTTTGTAGTTATTCTTGTATCTTAATCAATTTCTCTAAGTTTTATGTTCATTTTTCACATTTCTGTACGACCAGAACCACAGGGTTTGCTCAACATTGTTTTTATCTTCCATCTGTGGGCACTTTTAATGACCAGAAGGCTTAAAATTCCCCTTGTGTGATCAAAAAGGAAGTTTCAATCATCCTGGATTCCAGTTTTATTTGATTTCTTTTCCTCTGGTCTCTTTTAACTCAGGTGTTTTATTGCTGTATCACAGTGACCTCTGGTGGACAGACAGCTGTACTACACCTCCAGAAAACTGCTTTCCAGGAGTAGCTGAGGATTTATAAGATATAAGCATTTTATTATCCACAATAGTGTTCATAATCTAAAACAATATGTTTAAGAGGCAAAGGTCATCTTAAATGCTGCTCTGAATTAAATTGCTAAGTCATAGTTAACTTCTGTCAGCTTCTTTTTCTTTGCGAAATATACTTTCCCTCCTGTTTTGCAAAATCATTGTGGCTCGTCATGCAACAAGACGTTGTTCCTAATTTCTACGTGTCTAGAAAATCGTGTGTTAAGGCTTCATTCTTGTCTGATCATTATGTAGAAAAGCATGATATATAGAAATTTACAGAAAATAAAGGTGAAAATAGACGGACGTGCATCTGTGACTTAATTCTTGTTTTTTTCAAATGTTATAATGAATGTTTAATGTATTTGATCGCTTTATTTGGGGGTCATGGAACTTGTTTTCATCCGCATAGCTGACATTTAACTCTCTTTTATTGACTGACAGTAAAGAAAATTGTTGGAATAAAAGGGAACAACGAGCACAATTGTTGACTGGTGGAACAGGTTTGTTCCCAGCGTTTCTTCTGGCTGAGTTCAGGTGCGCTGCTCCCCTCTTTCGCGCACTTTTCAGAGAAACGCAACCGAGGCTTTCATCGCCTGTTTGTTGATCAGCGAGCCAACGTGAGAACCTCCAGCAGCGCTGACGTCACGCGTCATGTGACGCAGCAGAGCTCAGCCAATGACAAGAGGCCTCACTCTGCCACAGCTTCGGAAACCGGAAATGTATTCCATTCATAAAAAATAGTTTGATTCTGAACTTTTAGTTTTTGTGTGTGTGTTACTGGGTAATTTAATCATAATAATAATCATTAGTAGCTTCAAACATGTCTGATTTGCTACTTTCTGGGTATGAATTTGTGTTTTTTTGGTGCCTTGTTTTATGTGTCTATCACCCTCCTGATGTTCTTCTAATTGTTTTGGGTCTTTTTGTAATATTTTTCATCCCATTGGCAAACTGAGCTTCTACTATTCCATATCGATGAATGTTTTTCTTCTCTTTCCAGTTTTCTCTCATCCATCTGCAGCACCACTTCAGTTTACATGTCTTTTTGTCTCTGGTTTCCTGATTTTTCTATGAGTTTCAAGTTTCTAGTTAGTGTTAGTTTTTCACTTTTTGTTTGCATCAGCTTGTCATAATATTGTTTGTGTCATGTTTAGTTGTTTTACTTTTTCCCCCCATTAATGTTTATTTCCTCAATTAGCATTTGCTAAATATTCTATCTAGTACAATTTTACTGTTGCTTTTAAATATTTTTCTTGGCCATTACCCATAATATTTGTAACCAAACTAGTTTTCTTCTGTTTTTTATTCCTTAACCTGACAAATAAACATTTTAACATAACTGTTCCGTGAATTTGTCTAAATTAATCTGTGATGTTTTGTTTCCTTAGCAGATAGGGACAGAAAATCCGAGTGAGCCATCATTTCCTGGAATAGACGATCTTTGGTGGGCTAGCCGGCTAGCTGCTAGCTTGCTAGCACACAGAGACGCCATTAGTTGGAGAAGGAACGATTTCGCTTCTGGTAGAAACAGGAACTGGCTCCGAGTTTAGACGTGGTTTCCTTTCAGCAGCAGACAGACACCGAGACGAATCAGAGCCGTATCAGCTGTCGACGTGTTATTCTCGTGATTTTAGGAGCGTTTTAAAGTCGGAAGCCCATGTAAGCTCTACGAGACTTCAGTTAGCTTTAGCCACGCTAGCTTGGGAACGCCTATTTTGCTGGAAAAAAATCGGGGATTCGTGGAATAAAGTGTTGCCATGGCGTCAGCGGGGTCGGCAGGTAACAAGACGTACTCCTTCAAGGTGGTGCTGCTGGGGGAGGGCTGCGTGGGGAAGACGTCGCTGGTGCTGCGGTACTGCGAAAACAAATTCAACGACAAACACATCACAACTCTGCAGGTA